TATTCACTAACACCACTCACGGCCTATCCACTGGCGCTGATTTTGCATGCCACTTGTATGAGATCAAGCACTGGATGAGAAGAAATATGCTCCAGAAAAACATTAAGATTATAAAATGAAATCCATTCTCTTTGGTCCCTATCACAAACATGTTCCATGAACAGCAAGTTCTATCCTTTCTCTAGCAATTCTATGAGGCCAAACCAGACCATTTACAACCCACGGTGTTGTATTGAATCTAGAGGTGAGCTCCTACTCTCTTATCCACTCCATCACTATGACAACCTACATCCACTTGCATAACATCAACCTATTCTGCTCCTGTGTCAACTTATGTGTGCTGAAATTGTGTCTTTGTTAGCTATAGGCTTAACAATTCCAGTTTTCTTTGCTGGCCAATCACCCATCTTCCAAGCTACCCAAATTTGTGCAAAAATATTGCTGTTCAGTAAATCACACCAAGTCCTATTCACCCATCAGCTTTGCACTTGCTTGCTGATTTACATTGGCTTCCCATCTGCCAATGCCTCATTTCTAAAAATTCTTATCTTTGTTTTCAAATACCACTGTGGCCGCAATAATTAGTTCAGTCCTTCAGTAACTCTGTCCAAACCTACAGCCCTTTGAGAATTCTGGCCTCATGTGCAACCCTGATTTTATTGTTCTAGTATTTGTGGTGTTCCATTGCTTTTCTAATTTCCTTTTATACGTTACCCCTTTTAGCATCTTTGGGTAATTTTTTGTAACTGTCATAGTATTAAGAAGACATATTTATATAGTAAGGTCCATCTGTGGAAACTGGAATATTTTTAACTATTTGCACATTTTCTGAATTGAAAAGGGCTTTTATTATGTGACTTGTTCAGAATGAAGCCAACTGTTTAAGGTGCATTGTGGTTTGCCTGCTGTTTAATGGAAATCAAGCGACTTTGGAGAAAACAGCTAAGTAAACTTTCAAGGAGATGAAAAATTGACTTAAGTGCCTTAATTATTGGAAAAACTTGAAAACTTGAAATTCGAAAAGCCTGGCAAGGTGGGAAATGGGAGGAAGGGTGGCTGTAGGCTAATAGTTGTTTGGCATTACATTCATAATTTGGAAATTTAATTTTACAGATCCCGGAGTCAATAGAGAAGACATGCCTTAGAGAAGCTACAAGGGTCTCACTAAAGAAGCATTCCTTCTTTCTGGATAGTAGTACCAAAAAGAAACACTTGGTCATTTTTGTAATTGAATCAATATATTTTTACTAATGCTGTGACTGAAGATGTAGTGGGAATGGATCATCAGTGCATTTCTCCCATTACAGTCATATTATTACTTTTTGTCAGTCTTATTTTACCCTTTATGCTTCCAAATAACCAGGCAACTCTAGATTTCACAATACCACCCTTTACCTTTGTGGGGAAGTGTCCACACCATGCCCCTAGAATTTCGATTTCGATTGTCTCCTTGTTATTTGCCACTGATTTCCCTTCAAGTAGCTGCATCCAGTCCACTTTCACCAGATCATCTATCAGCTTCATGAAATTTGTCTTGCCAAAATTCAAACTTTTATCCTTTGTCTATGTTTCCTCTTTTCCATAATGATGTCAAGTCCAACTGTATTGTGGTCTCTGGCTCCAAAATTTGTCATCCACTGCTATTTAATCCACTTGTCCAGCTTCATTTCCTAGGACTAAATCTAAGTGTGCCCCCTTCTCATTGGGCTTGCTACGTGATGGCTAAGAAAGTTCCCTTAAATGCGATCCAGAAATTTTGTGTTCCCCGTGCCTTTTGCATTCTTCATATCCCAGTTGATATTAGGACAGATGAAATTTCCAACTATTATTTTCTCATTGCTTTTGTTCTCAGAAATTTGTCTACGAATTTGCTCTTTTTTCTTTTTTGCACTATTTGGTGATCTATAACACAATCCTAGCAGTGTGGCTGTCTCATTCTCAACCGATATGGTCTCATTTCATGATTTGTTTAGCATATCATCCTTTCTCACATCTGTAATTGAATACTTAACCAGCAATGTGCTGCCCCTATCTTTGTTCACTCCTCTCTATCTAGCTTGAAAATTCTATATCCAGGGTAGTTAGTGGCCAATTTTACCCCTCTTTAAGTCAAGTTTCATGCATTGAAATGCCATCATGCTGCCATGCATTTATCAACGCCCTCAGCCTATCAACTTTATTTGCCGTACTCATTGCACTTACATATAAATAATTTAACATTGCCATATTGATGTGCTGCACACTTTCAGAGCAGGGAAATACTGTGGGTGATGCCAAAGGATCTCCCTACTTGCTGAATTGTTCACCTCCTAATCTGTCATTGGGAGACTGCCTGTAGACCCCACAGCCTGTTGGGCCTGGAAAATTCCAAGTCAGTTTCCATTAAGGGACTTCAATAGGACATTAAGTGGAACTGTTGGCCAGCCTGATGCTATACTGCCATCCTGGAAAAATGGTCTGGGATTCAAAATTTCTCACCCATCCCCATTCCCACCTGGTTGAGCATTAAAAATATAGTCCGCAATTCCAGAAATACAGAAAATCTATTTTTATATAGTTATAAATGCTAAACAGACAAGGAGGAAGATTTTATTACACAAAATACATGTTTTGCAAATAAAGACAATATTTTCAGGAGAAAAATTTGTTGTGGCTCTTAACTTTATTATGACTCTACAGAAAAACAGAATGTGAAAGTGATAAAGAAATTGAGAGACAATGCACCCAGAACTAAGAAGAGGCCTCTATCAGGAAATGATTGAGCTTGGAAAAGATTGAGGAGATCTGATTAGCAAGCCTTTAAATTAGGATGTGAGAAAGAGTTTCTATGAGTGAGTGAGTGCAACACATGGGGACACAAAAACAAGATAAATAATAACTAATTGATCAAATAAGGTATTTAGGAGGAAGATTGGTAAGATTGCGTATCTACAGGCATGAAGAAAGGTTGTAATGTTGTGGATAGTATTGTTAAATTTAAGATGCAGAAACAGAAACATAGATGATCTGAGCAGGAGTAGGCCATTCAGCCCTTCAAGACTGCTCCATTGATTGATTTGATTTATTGCCACGTGTACTTAAGTATCGTGAAAAGCTTTGTTTGCGAGCTGTACAGGCAGATCATAGTAACAGTGTAGAATGGTTATAAGTCATGTTAGAGATGGATCTGCTGTAGGGAGTTCACAAGGAGTTCCCCAGTGTCAATGCCCTCTTGAGTCCATCAATTCAATATGATCACGGCTGATCATCGAGATCAATATCCTGTTCCATCTTTCTCACCGTACCCCCAATCCCTTTATTGATTGATTGATTGATTTATTGTCATGTGTACCAAAATACAGTGAAAAGCTTTGTTTATGAATGGTACAGGCAGATCACAGCAAGCAAAGGATGTACAGATTAAAAAGACTTAGAGGCATACAGGTTATATTGCAGGTTACATCATTTGAGGCTAGAGTCCATTCAACAGTCTGATAACAGCTGGAAAGAAGCTGTTCCTGAAGAACAATACAAAGTTCCTTCTTGAAAACATAACATGTTTTGGCCACAACTGACAGAGAATCTCCACAGGCTCACCACTCTCTGGGTGAAGTAATTTCTCCTCATCTCAGTCTTAAATAGCCTACCTCATATCCTTAGACTGTAATTCCTGGTTCTGGGCTCCTCTGTCGTCAGGGACATCCTTCTTATATTTATCACATCTAGTCCTGTTAGAATTTTATGAAATTCTGAGACTCTCATTCTTCTACACTCCAGTGAACACAGTCCTGACACCCCAGGAACCAGTCTGATTGCACTGGCTCTTATAGCCAGGACATCCTTCCTCAGGTATGGAGACCAAAACTGCTCACAATACTCCGGCTGTGGACCTCATCAATGTCCTGCATAATTGCAGCAAGACATCCCTGCTCCTGTACTCAAATCCTCTCTCTGTGATGGCCATCATACCATTCGCTTTCTTCACTACTTGCTGCCACGACGTGCTTACTTTCCGGCGACTGCTGTGGGGGCACCTCCCCCTATTCCAATCTTTCGCCATTCACATAAGAAACTGCCTTCCTGTTTTTGCTAAGCCTCACGTGTTTTAAATCCCAGCGATCTCATTGTTTCAGACAAGCGCCTGTACATTTAGGTTTTTTCGCAAGACAAGTAAACACAAGGAAGGAAAAGCGAGATTCCCCAACACCCTCAACAAAGGTTCTTGGAATTCAGAGGAAGAAACTAAGTTTCTAAATCCCATCCTGAAACTCTGGCGAGAATTTTGAATCCCACATAATAACAGTAGAATTGTTGCTTGTCAATCAAAGGAGCTGATCTCAGCAAATCATCTCTATCTTACTGTACAGGCAAAGTCACCTCAGTGAAAAAGAGAAGCAAAGAAGGTGATTACCAGGGACTGGGACAGGTTAACACTGAATCTGCCACGCGTTCTCTCACTGTCAGACATGTCTCCTGCACGGAACTTGTTGAAACGGTTCTGTAAGAATGGGTTGTGGGGTTAAGGGGGAGGTAGAACCTATAATCGGACAGCAGGAGCAGTATTGCTACATACAGAAAAGAAGAATTACATTTTTGAAAGCGAAAAGCAACAGCACAAGATGTGTATAGGCAGAAGGAGTATTTATTATTCACGTGTACTTTTGTACCTATTTAAAAATATCTAAATCTCTGAAGAGAGGAGTCGCGTCTGATTGAGGAAGTAAAATAATTAGATAACCCATTATCAAATCATGTTCTCCAGAAAAAAAAACCGGGCTCCTGTGAGCGTCATGTTGAAATTATGTGCGTTGTTTTCAGTACGATATAGATTATAACTTACTTCTGTGGAGCTGCTAAATGTTATTTTACTGTTAGTGCCTTCTTTACTAGGAACAATGCTTCTCCCGCCCCCACCCCGGCCCATCACTAAACACATTGGAATGAATTACAATGGGAGAGAGCTATCAGCTCGTTTCCTTCCCGTCAAAGCGCCACCATCCAGAACTGCAGCAGATTTCATCCAAACGCCAGCAGCGAGGAAATATCAGAACTGCAGCACTTTTCCTTCTCTCTCCCTCTGTCTGTCTCTCCCTCCTTGTGAATCTTATCCGTCCCCTCTCGTGGTGATCTCAGCACTGAGTCATACCGTGAGTTGGAGGAAACAATGATGGACTCCTGAGCCTAGCATCAAACCCAGCGCGGGGAGAGAGGTCAGAGGATTGAACAGAGGAAAGGCTTCGAGCTTTTCAGCGAGAGCTTACAGCGCTCACACATAAAACACCAAAACCAAGGAGTCTGCTATGGCCGGAGTTCTGTGCAAAACTTTGTACGCGTTTACCGGTGACCAACATCAGCAAGGGCTGAAGTTCGAGGCTGGGGAGATCATCAAGGTTTTACAGGTGCTGAACGGCGGATGGTGGGAAGGAGAGAAGGATGGGACCAGGGGTTGGTTCCCTGCAAGTTATGTGGAAATTCTAGAGGTAAGCACGCCACAAACATCTGTTAACTCCACCAGCCCTGGGACTACCCCCCCCCCCCCCCCCCAAGAACTGTTCTGGTTCTTTTTCTTTCCCCCTTGAATCACTCTAAGTGCAATTTTGTTGCAAAACGGATGGGAATTGCTTTGCTACGGACGAGAAATATGAATGCTATTTCATTGAAAAGGGAGTTCAGAGTAATGGTTTGCGTTGTGTATCTTTCGAACCTGGCTGCTTTATATTTGTAGTGCGAATCAAGACTGATATCAGTAAGGTTCATACACACACACACTCCAAACTTGAAGGAAGAATAAATGAGTAAACTGTCCGGAAATTATGACACAGTCTTTGGAAACTGACATTTTGAGGGAGACCGGGCAATGGAAATGAGATTGATTACAGATGTATTAGAAGTTTGGAGGCTGCGGATTCAAACTGTCACAGTCAATGAGGGTGGTGTTGTGCTTTACGGTGTTGAACAGCCTAAAGTCTCCCTGTTCGTAAATTGTTCTGTGATAGTGCTCGCTTGTCTAGTTGTTTTGAAATCTGAGGATCGATATGCTTTCAACACCGGATATTAACATTTCATTTTCCGCTAGGGGGCACGTTGCAACGCAAAAATGTGGAGAAATCCTTTACAAAAACGTGTAAGCGGGAAATTGTTAAGACTTTAATTTTGTTATTTGTTAAATGTAACACCATTTTATACCTGTGAGGTTGGGTTCTCAAATCACTAACTCACTATTTTCAATCTTCTAATTTACATTAGTTGAATGAACTCAAATTCGAACGAAAGCTGTACGTTTATCATAAGGGGATCTATCGGATTTGGTCACGTCTGTTAGAATGAGTCACGACATTGATCTTTCAAAGAAATCTTAAAAAAGCAACAGTTTGCACTACCCACCAAAAAAAAATACAGTAATGGTCTTTGAGTTCATTGCATCGCTGGATGTGAGTACTTTTATACTGGAACGCTTTGGTTTGATGGTGTAAGATACATACATTACTATTAACTTTCTAAATGTCGAAGTGTCTGAAACGTATCAGTCCAAGACTTTTATTGTGATTACTATCAGAACCTTATTCTGGTTGACAACATTTATAGATAACCTCTCAGTCCAATCAAACCGCCTGTCTTTGATCCGCAACACTGCTACTCCAGTGTTCAAAGAGATGCTTTTTTTAAAAAAAAAATCAGTTTTTTTTTGTCTCTTTCATAGATAGCCTGCGGTAGTGTCCAAGTCATTAATTAGTGGAGATTCGAGGACAATCCGAAAGGGTTGGCAATGCCACGCTGTACTGTCAGGTTGATTAATGCCCAAGCCCAGTACAATAATAATGTTGGCAATTATACGTCCGCTTGCTATCGTTGCAAAACCATGTTGTGCAGGTTTTAACTAACTGTATCTAGCTGATAATTATGTGCTGATTTTGACACTGCCTAAACTGGTTAGCAATTTCAATGACGTGCAGGGTAGCTTTATTTAGTTTATTACAGAGATTATGCTTGTTTGATGCACAATTTCACATAGTCAAGCAGTTTCTATGTCTCTTTTCTGTGGGGACTTATGCTTATATCTGTGTTGATCTGCTTTGAGATAACACATTATGTACAAGGCATAGCAATTAGGGCTAGAAATCTCTGTTTCTGAAGAAAGCGAGTTTGAAGATAGGAAGGGCAGTTAATGAGGTGGGGTGATGACAAATCTAAATCCCATCACCTCCTTTTCTGTCCCTGAATCAAGTTATAGGGGTAAACACCCCTCTGGACAAACCTGCTGCTCCACTGCTAGTTGAGGCCTGTAACTGACTTAATTGACTACCATCTAAGAGCTTCAGCCTGTTTGCCCTGGGATTGTGGACCTGTCACCAGATTCTGTTCATAATAGATGCCACCCTGCAGGTAACCTATCTCTGCAGTTGGACAGGGTGGTGTCCCTTGATCAAAGGTAAGTGATGCCTAGTTGAGGGAATGGGCAGGGCTTGCCTGCTGGGAGCTAACCCCCACCCTTGCTTTCTCAACCCCTGCCATGCTTTTGACTCTGACCAGTCTGAACACAGCCTGAGAAACCGCTGCCCCCTCCATCAGTTATCTTCTTCTTTAGCTTGGGTTCTCTATGATCCTGAAATTTCAGGTTGCTACACTCCCAGTGGCCACAGCCTGCTCCATGGTGCTGTGGCCCCTGATTGACAGGCAGCCCTTACTCAATGGGACTTTCAACTCAGATGTCTTGTTTCCAGGTGAAGGCCTGTCATTGGTCTCAATACTGGTCATCCTGTGGTTTGGTGCAGCTACCCTGCAAGAGGTAATGGACAGACCCCTAGCCAGCTTTCCAACCTCGAGCGACAGGGTAGTGAAGAAAGCGTTTGGTATGCTTGCCTTTATTAGTTCAAAAATTGAGTATGGGAGTTGGGATGTCCTGTTGCGGCTGGACAGGACATCGGTTAGGCCACTTTTGGAATACTGCATTCAGTTCTGGTCTCCCAGTATTGGGAAAAATGTTGTTAAACTTGAAAGGGTGCAGAAAAGATCTACAGGAATGTTGCCAGGGTTAGAGTGTTTGAGCTGTAGGGAGACGCTGAATAGGTTGGGGCTATATTCTTTGTAGCATTGGAAGCTGAGGGGTGACCTTATAGAGGTTTATAAAATCATGAGGGACATGGATAGGGTGAACAACCAAGGTCATTTTCCCAGGGTGTGGGAGTCCAAAACTAGAGGGCATAGGTTTAAGGTGAGAGGGACAATATTTAAAAGGGACCCAAGGGGTAAATTTTTCATGCGACATGGCTCAGTGGTTAGCACTGGTGCCTCACAGCACTAGGGATCCAGTTTGATTCTACACTTGGGCGACTATCTGTGTGGAGTTTGCACATTCTCCCTGTATCTGTGTGGGTTTCCTCCAGGTGTTCCAGTTTCCTTTCACAGTCCAGCGATGTGCAGGTTAGGTGGATTGGCCATGCCAAATTGTCACATAGTGTCCAGGGATGTGCAGTTTAAGTGTATCAGCCATGGGAAATGTGGGATTATGGGGATAGGCTAGGGGGTTGGATCAAGTTGGGATGCTCTTTGGAGGCACGGTTTGGATTTGATGGACCAAAAGGCCTGCTTCCACACTGAAGGGATTCTATGATTTACGCCATTGAGTTTGCTACCAATGCAGAGAGTGATGCATGAATGGAATACGCTGCCTAAGGATGTGGTGGAGGTGGGTACAATTATAACATTGAAAAGGCATCTGAATGGGTACACGAATAGGAATCCTGACTTCACCTGATGAAGGAGCATTGCTCTGAAAGCTTGTGGCTTTAAATAAGCCTGTTGGAATATAGCCTGGTGTAGTGTGACTTCTGACTTAGTCCACCCAGCCCAACACTGGCATTTCCACATTTTCGCTATCATAGGATCTAATAATTGACACATAGGAGTATTTTTGTACGCAGTGACATCTAAAGTTTTCTCAAAGTTGTAATCAAGTTTATAATATTTGAAAAGTTTGTAAAGGGCTCAATGTGACTTGCCAGGTTGGATTGATCTTGCCAGTTTCTGGCAAGGTGGCGGCAGGGTAACTCCATTTGGAACTCCATTCTGCTCGCCAGTTCTCTTTCCTTTTACTTTCTTTTCCTCTTCTTCTTCTCTCTCCTCTCTGCAGTAATTCTATTCCCCCCCACCCTTTTAACTACCTACCTAAGCAGTCCGGTCGCGACTGGAAACTACATGGTGGGATATTCGGTAGTCTCTTGAATGTGTGGGCCATTTCTTGCAGTGATGGCGGATTAAACGTTGGTGGGAGGAATGGCAGTGAGAGCAGGCCGGTGAGGCAGTGGCAGCGAGAGCGGGCTGGTAAGACAGCAGCAGATGGTGGTGAGAGCGCACTGGTAAGGCAGTAGCAGATGGTGGTGAGCGCGGACTGGTAAGGTGGTAGCAGATGGTGGCGAGAGCACACTGGTAAGGCGGTAGCAAATGGTGGTGAGAGCGGGCTGGTAAGGTGGTAGCAGATGGTGGTGAGAGCACGCTGGTAAGGTGGTAGCAGATGGTGGTGAGAGCGCGCTGGTAAGGCGGTAGCAGATGGTGGTGAGAGCGGGCTGGTAAGGCGGTAGCAGATGGTGGTGAGAGCGCGCTGGTAAGGCGGTAGCAGATGGTGACGAGACCGGGCTGGTAAGGTGGTAGCAGATGGTGGTGAGAGCGCGCTAGTAAGGCGGTAGCAGATGGTGGCGAGAGCGTGCTGGTAAGGTGGTAGCAGATGGTGGTGAGAGCAGGCTGGTAAGGCGGTAGCAGATGGT